TCAACTTTTCTCATTTTTCTTTGATATTAAGATAAAAAATTAGAATTTTTTTTAATATAAGATTTTAAAATTCTGATATACAGGTTAAACATATACATATATACATATGCATTTTGAAAAGATTTTAATTAAAAAGTTTATGATTTTTAAAAACTAAGTTCAGAAGTAAATTAAGAAAAAATATATAAAAAACTTTAAATTACTATGGTTTTTATAGTTTTTGGGGAATTAAATGCAATGATTTATGTGAATTTTGTATATATATATGAGTATAATAAAATATCCTATAGATCAAGGAGATGCTACAATATGGTTCGAATCTAATCACTTGATTAATTTAAAAAAAAAAATCAATAATAATAATATGAGAATGAATTTAATTTTAAAAGTTGGTGCAAATACTTAAAGGACTGTAAGCATGAGAAAAAAAATTAAATTTTTGCTAAATAGGACTCGAAAAAATGATTTACTATCAGTATGATTTATGTATATTATTTAAATACACACATACAATATAAAATTGGAGCAATATTTCGTAATATCATGGTTTTATATCAAAATACAGGCTGATACAAAAGTTATCTGTTTAACGATTTTTCAATCAACAAAATCAAACTAAATTCAATATTAGACGATGTTTTTCTACTCCGATATAATTCCGCTCTCTAAATTTAAGTATACCAGTCTAAATTCTTATCGCTTTGCATTTAATATAACATCAATTTTGCCACATAAGCACAAAGGGAAAGAGAGAGAGACAACTTCTTAAGAAAAATTGTTGGAATTAAAAAAAACGAAGGAAGGTTGTTGGAATGTAACATGAAAGTTTCTGCATATATACCAGAGTAGAACGCCCTATTTAACCATAAACTATAAAATTAAAGCCTGTATGAATATTTTCAATCTTATATTTATGTAAGTACTTTATAGATATAGTAAGTTTAATTGTCATATTTTAAGTAGCATGTGTTATATTTTAGATGAATTTGTAATGTCAAAGATTTGCTATAGCCGAAACAAATTCACGCAATAGTCCCATTGATTGAAATTTAAGAAAACACAATAAATAAGTTCTTTGAATTAAATATGCATATACATACAAACGTACGCATTATGTACTCTACTATAAAAAAAATTAAATTTGTATATAATTAAGTTAATTTCTCAATATATTTAAATAATATGTACAAAGAACTGTTATATATTTATTAGCTATAAATATGTAAGTATGTTAAATTCAATGTATAGTGATACATAAGTAAATTTTTAAAATAAGTTTTCGCTTCATTTAACATCAGCATAAACAACTCAGCCTGCGGTATAAAATGTGCGACTTAAGAAAAAATCAAAAGAATCTTATGATACTCGTATGATCAGTTTAAGTTTTAGCTATATTGATATCTTACTTATACTATTAAATTGCTTAATATTAATTTATACGAGTAATGACAATTTATTTTTATGTATCTGACTCACACAGTCAAGTTTGTAAAAATTTCAACAATACTTCACCATCATGCAAAATACATACTGTGAATAAAAGATAAATTTCTCACAAGCTTATGTTGTCTCCAACTTTTATTATGAAAATTTAAAATATCAACATAATATTTTTGTATTGTAGCAGTGGTATGTTCTATCATCTCGTACAAGTTTTCACCATCAATTTTATTGTACTAATACTGTTTTAAACTTTATTTAATTTAGTCTTCACTTTTACTGTTTATGTTGTGTTTAGAAAGAGCATAATTTTTTTATTATTCTCTCTGATTTTTAATTCAATATTCCTTATTTCCTATTGTACCATTTACTATTACTTGTCGTTTTATATATTATCAAGCAGTATACCTGAATAGCTGTTATTGCGTAGTACACGAAGCTAAAACTGACATATAAAGCACTAAAAATTTTTATACCCTGCACTTCGTGAAGGGTATATTAACTTTGGTATGGAGTTTGTAACTACTTGAAGGAGTCATCTGCGGTATGGACATATATATATATTCTTGCTCAGCGTAAAATTCTGCGTCGATTTAGACATGTCCGTCTGTCCGTCCGTCCGTCCGTCCGTCCGTTCGCACGATAACTCAAAAACGAATAATGCAATCGACACCAAACTTTCACAAGTTTTTTCTTTTGTGCCAAGGACGAGCCCTATTGTTATTGGACTAATTCGGACAACGGGTTCGGGTAGCTGCCATACAGCTCAAAGAGTTTATTTTAAATATTTCAAAAACTAATAAAGCTTTAAATATAAAACTTTGTATACATGTGTCCAATTATATTCTACACATGCTCTAAAAATTATAATGGGATAGCTGCACCGTTTCGGGTGGCTGCCATACAACTCCAACAGCAAATTTTTTATATTCGGCAAAATAATAAAGTCAGATTCATGAAACTTGGCAGTCATGTGTCCAATTATAGGTCAAATATACTTCTGAAGTTTTAGAGGAATTGCTTTACAGGTTCGGGTACCTGCCATACAACTCCAGAAGCTAATTTTAAATATTTGGAAAAATAATAAAGTCAGATTCATGAAACTTGGCAGTTGGATGTCCGATTATAGATCAGATATATTTGTGAAGTTTTAGAGGAATTGCTTGACAGGTTCGGGTACTTGCCACACAACTCCAGAAGCTATTTTTAAATATTTGGAAAAATAATAAAGTCAGATTGATGAAACTTGGCAGTTGTGTGTCCAATTATAGGTCAGACATATTTCTAAAGTTTTAATGGGATTGCTTGACAGGTTCGAGTAGCTCCCATACAAGTCTTAAAGCTTATTCTTAATATTTGGAAAAATAATAAAGTCAGATCCATGAAACTTGGCAGTTGTGTGTCCGATTATAGATCATATATATTTGTGAAGTTTTAGTGGAATTGCTTGACAGATTCGGGGACTTGCCAAACAACTCCAAAAGCATATTTTAAATATTTGGAAAAATAATAAAGTCAGATTCATGATACTTGGCAGTTGTGTGTCCGATTGTAGATCAGATATATTTGTGAAGTTTTGATGGAATTGTTTGACAGGTTCAGGTACTTGCCATACAACTCCAAAAGCTAATTTTAAATATTTGGAAAAATTATAAAGTCAGATTCATGAAACTTGGCAGTCGGATGTCCAATTATAGGTCAGACATATCCGTGAAGTTTCTACAGAATGACTTCACAGGTTCGAGTAATTGCTACACAATAACGAAAGGTGCAGGGTATTATTCAATCGGTTTATACCGACTGAAACGTTTTTACTTGTTTTTAAACATTTTTTCTCCTGATCTTTTTGCACTCTTTTCTAACATAATCAAATAATGTGCAGCTTAAAAATGAGTTGATAATCAAGTCGTTCGATCAGTTGACTGAAATAAATTAGTTAAGACGACTTGCGGCTGATATTTTATTTCCTTGCATTAATTTCTTATTATTTTTCTTTTCTTTTTCACTTAATAAATTAGAGTTGAAGAGATTTTTGTTATTAAAATGATATTCAGTCGTAACGTTTACCTTTAATCGGATAGTTGGATTTTCTTGTAAGACGTTCGGATATTTTACAGCGTGAAATATTTGAAAAAAAAAAGAAATATTTTCGATTAAAAATAAATTTAAATAATACAAAATATCAAATAATTTTTTTTTTTAATTTTACTTGTAAAATATTACAAAATCAAATTAATTCTTATTTGTTCATAATTTGTTCTCAATAATTTTGATAATTGTGAATTCGCCGTGCGGCAATTAAATACGAGTATTACGTATTTTCGCTTGTTATTTTTTTTTTTGCCAGTTCTTTTTAATGATTCAATAACTCGTTCTTTTAAGATGATTAGTAGCCTGCTAATATAATCAAATATCATTTTGTAAAAAAATATCAATTTTAAAGAATCGCAAAAAATATTATTCTATACTTATTAAAAATTGAAGAGTGTGTGTTTTTATGTGTGCTATTTAATTTTTTTATGTTGTTTTTTCGTTATAAATTTGTATATCAATTTTAATTTTGCTTTATTGATTGAAAATTAATTAAAATTAATTTATAATAATTTATTTTAATATTTTATATATTTATATATATTTTAATTGAAAGTGATTTATTTTATAATAAATTCTTAATATTTAATCAATATTTTAATAATTGAATCAAATCAAAATGAGTATATTTTAAAATATAAATTGTGTGACATAAATTTTTAAATTAAAGAAAATATTATTATATAATTATATTTTTTAATATTAAATTTAATGTAAAATTATGCCGAAGATCTTGTATTATATTAAAATGTGTATATGAAATGAAAATTTTAATAGTGCTAATAAATGGTTAAAATTTTTTAATGTAGAGCTGTATAATAGTTAGCTTTAATATTTAAAAAATAAATGTTTTTTTTTTTTTTAAATACACCATTAATATAATAAATAAAATTAAAGGAATCTTATAAATAATATACTTTTTATACAATTTAATTAAAATTAATAGTAAAATTGCTAAAATTCCTTTCTATAATCTTAAATTAAATTGTGTGTTTATTTAAGTATTAAATTTTATCTTTAATTTTATTATTCTTATAAACATCATATATAAATTTCAAGTATAATGTTAACAAATTGTATAACAAATTAATTTTTCTCTTCTGTAGTACACAATTATTATGTCGTATAAGTACTTAAATCATGTTGATATTCTCTAAACCAAACTCAGATATATTTGAAGAATTTTTACTTTTATATTGTACTCCTTTTTTGTATCAATTTTAAAAAATATAAGGAGGAAAATAATTGTAGTTTATTTTCACGGTTTTTTTGTTTTTGTTTTCTTTTTTTATAAATTCAATCTATTATAAATATTAGAGAACTTATTGAACTTTCATTGTTTCTAAGATCCAGTTTATATGTATATTGTGTGTATATATAACAAGTGAAGTGAATATTATAAAAAAAATGCATTTTTTATATTTATTGTACTACGTATGTAGTACAATATGTATGTATGTATGAAAAGAAATTGTTGCAATTTACTTGTCTACCTTAAATCAACTTTTTTATTTAAAAAAAAAAAATTTTTTTTCTGTTTTAATATTTTTAAAGGAAATCAAGGTAAGAACGCGCAAGTTAAACAAAAAAAAAAAAACAAACAAGCAACAAATCTTTTGGATTAATCGGTTTTAATTTTTTTTTATTCGGTTTTTATGCTTTATTTTTGGAATTTAATATTATATTACAACATAAATAAGTACTTATGTATTAAATAAAAAAAGAAAAAAAGAACAAAATCAAAATAAGCATCATCATCAACATAACCTTTACATATTGATGTACATACCCATATATGTATATATATATAAGTTATCTGCATATACACATTAATATACGGCAATAATTTTATAAGAGCATCAACATTTTACCATAAACACAGTACAACTTTATTGCCTCTTTTTTTTCATTCTGGATTTTTTGGTTTCTTACTATTTTTTTTGGAATATTTTGTCTCGCATATACATAAGTAATCTCGCGCAATGGAGCCGGAACTTAAAAGGTAAAAGTAACTTTAATATATAATCAAAAAATATTTTTTCTATATATATATATATATATATGTATATATTTGTGATTATAATAAAATTAAAAAAAGCATATTATAGGTACCTGTTATGTTGCAGAATTCTTTTAAATATACAATTTACATATAAATATATTTATGTATATATGTACAAATAGGTGCAGGTACAAATAACGTTCAATCAGTCTGGCACCAAAATTTATAAAATCAAAAAAAAAAAGGGGAAAAAAAAGCTATGCATATAATTTTCAATATTGTCTTATCATTTTCTTCTTTCCTTCTCTTTTTCTTTCACCTTATTCTATATAATATAGAAGTACATACTTCCTATATGTATGAACATGGATTTTCTTTGAAAATACAAAGAAATTTAATGCATATCGATTTTGGTTAAGTATAATTATTATGCTGGATGTCATTCTATTTAAGAGAAAATTAGTCAAGAAATCTCAAATATAGCTATTAAGTATTTACTGTTATTTTTATGACCATATGCTTCGGGGGGCTTTAATGCTAAATATAATCTGCAATCGATTCTACTCAAGTTTACATTTTAGGTTCACATTTTTATGAAAGCTATTTTATTTTCACAAAATTAATTATATTAAAAATGCAATTTTTTTTTTTTTTTTTTTTTTTTTTCCTTCTTCACTCCTAGGAGGAGTATAGGGCTAGTGCATGATATCTATCATGCCCTAGTTTCTATAGTCATAGAGAGTTAGCTAGGTAGGTGACTAGCCTGCCGTAGTTTTTATTTATATTAATTATTTGAGGTTATTAATATTACTGTTTATTTTTCTTAGTTTTCTTAGTATCGAATATTATGAATATTTGAAAATTACTTGTTTAATATTTATTAGTATTGCATATTAAGTTATATAATATTGAATATAATTTTTATATTGACCTGACCGGGGTTTGAACCCGAGACCCTTCGGTTAAAGAGCCGGTGCCATAACCACTGCACCAATGATCAGATAAATGCAATTAGTAAACGTAATTATAAAATAGCTATGAGTTTTTTATTGAAATTCCGAAAATTGTTCATGGGATAAGAGAGTAATTTTTTTTATTTCTATTAAAAACTTATTGGTATATTACATATTATGTACTTATATTGTTGTCACTCAATTTTTAAATTGAGAATTCGAAACATCATATTATTAAAAGATTTTACTGTATTGCGCCTTAATATATGCAATATTTCATAAAATAAAAAATATTATTTAGGTACTTAATTATGATATTCATAAATTCATTCACGAGATATTTCTAGTTTTGTAGTTGGAACACGGTCCGTTCATAGCAGTTAGAGAAGATGGGCTTCAATATGCAATGGATGATTGCAGTACCCATATCAGGGAGAATGTTTCCTTGCAGTTATTCCATTCTGTTGATAATCTTAAATCTATATAATCTATACAAATTATAATATTTTAATATTAATACTTAAGTAAATTTGACATACTGATTGGCATACAGTCGGGAAAATCGATAAAAATTTTTGAATTTATTTTTAATGTTCTCGACAAAAATACATAAGTATTTTGAAGAATTTGTTTATAAAACCTATTATCAGAGAATAATGGTGAAGGAACAAATTGATAATGGGCCTTCACTTATGTTATTTGTAGAAAAACGTTTTGTTTTCTTGTTTTGCTATATTTAGTTTTAACAAGTTTGATTATCTAAGTTTTCTAATAGTAAGTACTTAACCTTTAAAAATAGATGAAAAGAAAATGAAAAATTAAGAATGGTTTTATTTTTTCTTTTATTTTTTTTTGTTCCTTTGTTTTGTATCGGTTGTGTGGCATCAATTTGGCTCTTATATTTTGGTTGAATATTTAGATAATCCAAAGTTTTACAAATTTACTGCATCTTATGTATATTTAGTTTAGTTTTCCTTTATATATATACTACACTTTATATGCATATTATAATATCTCTATTTTGAACAAAAATTTATATACAAACATACATGTGTATGTATATACAAACATACATGTATCTATAAATATAACTAAATGTAAAGTATGCTGTATAATAGAATTAAATTCATTTAATGAATACTTTGAATGGAAGTCTTTAATTTGCATAAAAGCTGCAGTAAAAATAACTCTTTTTAAAATAAAAATACCTTTTTTTTTTGAAAAATATATGATTTAAGGTTCATGTAAGTGTATGTTTGTATATATTGGAGACATGCTTTACTTTAAAATTATCTTTTCCTATATATTTTTCCTTTTAAACGTGTATACATAATATATGAATGTACATACACTTCGTATTCATAAATCTATAACAAAAAATGCTTAAAGTGCATTTTACATAAGTATAGCTTAGAGGTTTATTAATTTAGAAAAAAAAAAATAATAGCTTCAATAGAATATAGAAATGTTTCGGACATAAACTCTCGGATATATTATGTAAATGTTATCATTATAGTTTAAAAGAATAAATTTAGATGTTATGTAGTTTACTTGACCCAAATATACGAGCAGTAACTAAGTAAAAACTTTTATCTGCTTTGGTTTATATTTATAAATTTGTACGTATGATTAAGGATTTTCACCGTTCAATTGTAAATACTTATTATACAAATATCTCACACTTATACTTACACATTAATATAAGTCGAATAATTTAAGAACAAATTGAATGTAACCAGATGGCTTTAATAGTTGATTGAGCCATAACATTCTTAATTATTAGAAAACATGTATAATTTTTTCCAAGTTTCTAAAATTGTTTATAAATTAAACACAATTATTTTCTGTGAGTTTTTTATAAAAAGTACTATTTTGTTTACATATTTTAATTATTTAATTAAATATTTTTCAAATATAATATTACAAAACATATTTTGGCCCTTAATATGTGCCCCCTTTTGAATCAGCATCTATTAAAATTCACTTGCATTATAATACAAGGCTTGTAATACAACTAATACAACAACATATAGTTAGGAATATCTAGTCATCCGATGCAAATCTGCTTCCCTAAGTTATTAGAAATGCCGATGAAATTTCGACACAAATTTTGACATATTAAAGTAAGAACATGGGGTTCTCCTCCATAAAATAATCATATATAACTGTTTGTGTATTTAAAGAATTTTGCATTTAAGTATGTAAATATGTTTGGACAGACTCTTACATAAACTTCCATTATTATAATATGCGTATAATAGCTACATAAATATTTATCGCACTTTTCATTAAACTGACAACAAAAATCGTATAGGAAATATTTGTATCACGACCAAATGTCTATGATATAATACACGTATAATCATATATCAAAACTCATACATAATTTAATTTCAATAATTAAAAAGATTTTGATTGGGAACATTAATGTTCCGTTATCAAAAACGTCACAACAAAGCTTTTATACAAAATTAAAGTTAAAAAAAAATTTATAGTGGCATAAATGCTTTTCAAGTAAGAAAAAATGCAAATTGTTATATTACAATATTTTTCTTTTTTTTTCATGATTTGTGTGCTATCAAAGTGTTATGATTTAAAAAATGTGGGCGCAGTTGATTTTTCTGTCTTTTCTTTTCGAAAAAGCTAGTTTAACTAACTGCCGGCAATTTAGTATTATATTTTTTTATGTTTTCTTTTTTTTAACTCTTATATTGATATTATTAAAAAATCCAGATTTATAACTCACGTATTTTAGAAAAAAAATAGAGAAAAAATGAGAGGAAAAATATGAGTCAACTTTGAAGAGTTATGATTTAAAAATGGAAATGATTTTACCTTTTATTTTTTCTTCTTCTTTTTTTTTCGTTTTATGAATTTATGTTGGCCTAATAACAATACTAGAAATTTGTTTTTATTTTTTGTATTTAAATTTTTAATCTTTTAATTCAAAAATTGTGATTTTAATCCATTTGTATTGGAAATTAGTTATCTGAAATTTATTTAAATAAAATGATGTGTAGCTAGCTTTACAAGTTAAGGAAATAGAAATAAATTTCATTAATAAAAATGACAAGTCTTCTTAGCAATCAAAAAAAAAAATTATAATATTATGTGGTCATTTTATTATGCCATTCAAATTTCAAACAAAGTTAGAAAAAAATAGAACAATTAAAAATATTTTAATATAAACGGTTCTTAAATATTTCCTGTAATTAAATTTTCCAATTATGAATTGATTTTTTTTTTGTCGTTCATTTAATTTTTATTTGAATTTTTTAAAATTCATTTGGAAAAACTGGGATTTTATTGGTTAGTCGAAAGTTATATACTTTTATTTTCTCTTAATTATATTATTATTAACCTTAATGTTAATAAAAATAACAGTAGAATAATTTATTGATATTTCATACTCCGATTCTAATACACATAAGTGAGTCTTATAATTCGTTTGGTTCTAATACAGAACTACCTTTACAAAATTTATAATAATAAAGTTGAATCAAAGCAATGGTTTGTATACAGTAGAACTTTTTCCATGAACAAATGAAAATCCAATCTACTACATTTTTTAAATTACTGTCATTCATATACTAAAATATATGAAATTATTGCATATATTTAGGATGAACGTAGAAAAAAATGGAAAGAAGCGTTAATATAATAGTCGAATCCGAGTTAAGACAAATAATTATACATTTGGCATAATTATGACATTTGCTGTTAGATTTTCCTTTTATATAAATTCAGAGAAGCTGGCTGTTTCGGAAATGCATATATTTCCGAAAAATTGAAATTTCCGGCGCTGAAAATTTAAATTTTATTTATTTTACTGAGGAGCGGTAACTTAGCTGGTGCGAAACCGAAAGAAAATTTTTATCTATCTGAAAAAAGTATTTGTTAATGCCAAAAAGCTGCTAAAATTTTAAAGTCTTAAAACTAAAAATCTACAAAAAAAAAAGAGTTTTATATAACGGTTAATTTTAATGTCCATTTTCTTATTTTAATGTTTGACTATACTGTATGGTAGTAGAATCGTGTCTTATACTG